CATACACAAATTCTAAGATGTTGGAACCCTGCTGCAGAAAAAACTAGAAGTGGGTAATGGAACAGCGAAGAGAAATCAAGCATGAAAGCACTGCTCAGAAAATGTGAAAACAGTGCCACTAGCAATGAACCTAAGATATAAAACCCATTTTTAAAGGGCTCGTTCCCATGGGACTTGAGGCTCATTAGTAAAGTTATTGTAATACTTAAATACTTCATTACTAAACATTTATTAAAAATTTAAGGGCCGGGGCCCATCTAGATGGCTGGCCCTTGCCCAGAAAGACCAGTGACACAAGTTTATCTTTCCATCTCTGGGGCAGAAAGGTTTGAGAACAACCACACAGAATTGTCTTCTTTGTGGCATGTGTTATTCCAAATGCTTGTTGTGGCATGTGGCATACCCCCAATAAGTAAACAACATTTATCTTTTAAAATTAGGGGTTTGAAAGCTCAAGATGTTGCCCAATGAGTAGAGTGCTTAAAACCCTGCAATATGACTTTGATCCTAGCATAAGGTCTACCGTCCCAGCTTGGCTTCAAACTCAAGATGCTCCTGCTTCAGCTTCCAGAGCATTGGCAGAGTGGAGTACAAAAGCATTTTCAGCTACAAAGTTTTTGAAGATGCCTGGGCTCTCTTCAGAGATCTAACCTAAATGCCCATTCATGAATATAAAATCAATCTTCTACTCTCAATACAAAAAGCATTTCTAATCACAAAAACCAGGAAAGCAGAAGAACCTTACCAAGATGACCTATAATTTCATATTAAGTAACCAGGGAGAGGAATATGTTCAGTAGAACACTTGCCTGCCTAGTATTCGTGAGAGAGGTCTTGAGTTGAACTGCCAGCACCACACAGAAATACGCAATATGAAAATCAATTTCAGCGGGGCGGTGGTGGCGCACACCTTTAATTCCAGCACTCAAAGAGGCAGAGGCAGACGGATTTCTGTGAGTTCAGGACCAGCCTGGTCTACAAGAGCTAGCTCCAGGACAGCCTCCTAAGCCACAGAGAAACCCTGTCTCGTAAAACCAAAAATAGTGAGACCCTGTCTTAAAAGAAAATAAGAACAAAAAAATCCAAATTGTTTTGTATGTGTGGATCAAGATAGCTTGTAGAAGTCAGTATTCTCTTTCTACCACGTGAGTCCTGGGAGTTAAACTAAGTGTATCAGGCTCAGCTGACAGCATCTTAGACCAATAATTAAAAATTAACTAATTTATTGATGTATTTATATGCAGAACCTCTGATTAAATTGATTTAACAACACAACTTCCCTCCCTGAATATTAAATATTATTATTATTTTGGAAACAGTTTGTGTGACAGCTCTAGCTGTTCTGGCACTTGCTCTGTAGACCAGGCTGGCCTCAAACTCAGAAATTCACCTGCCTCTGCCTCCAAGTGCTAGGACTAAAGGCATGCAACACACTGCCAGGCTTAAATACTCTTTATTGGACTTCTTTTGAATACTAGGTCTAGATGGACAGCTCAGTCAGTAAAGTACTTTCAAGTACAACCTGAGATCCCCAGAACTAGAATTTAAAAAAAAAAATGATACACTGGTAAGAATGTATAATCCCTGTACTGGGGAAGCAGAGACAGGAAGAGATATCTTTGGGGCTTGCTTGGCCAACTATTATAATAACTGGTGACCTCAGGCCAAATGAAATCTGGTCTCAGAAAAGATGGATGCCATTCCTGTGGGCATGTGCTGTTGCCCTACATATCTCACACACTAAAAAAAATAAAGACAACTAAAATATGCCAGAAAAGAAAAACAGTTAAAAGGTATCTATTACTGCCACATCTTGAGTTCTGCTCAATTATGTAATCACTTCTTAAAAACCAACAAGCTATGGTGTTGTGGCACACGCCTTTAGTCCCAGCACTCAGGAGGCAGAGGCAGGAGGATCTCCGTGAGTTCGAGGCCATCCTGGTCGATGGAGCGAGTTCCAGGACAGGCTCCAAAACCATAGAGAAACCCTGTCTCGAAAAAACAAGTTACAAACATAGGAATAGAGGACTAAATGGGTAAAATTGTCATGCAAGCATGAAGACAAGCACCCGGGATCCCTCCTACAAAGAGGAGAATCCCAGAAGATGGAAGACCAGCTAGCCTGGAGTACAAAGTACACGGTAGAGGGTCCACACACCTGAGCCTGAATTCGCTACCACACACACACACAAACACCTGTAAGTTATATAATACAGCCAGACCCTGCTTCCAAAACAACCAACCAGAAAGTCACATAATCAGACTTAAGACATACACAGCTGAGTACTTTAAGAGGATGGGGGTGGGGGTGAGTCATACTATACATTCTAGATAGCCTTAATGACTTAAAAACTAAACTTTTGTATGGTAAACTCCAAAGCCCGAAACCTTCCCAAACCATTTCAATTTGAAAAGTTATGTATAAAATCACTTATAGACCATACACCTAAAACTTTCTCAGTTGCAGTTTCTTTCTGTTCTACTTTTAGTGATCTAGTTTCACACGCAGTTTTTTTTATTTTTAATTAAGAATTTCAAAACAGCTGGGTGTGTTGTTGCACCCCTTTAATCCCAGTGCTGGGCAGGTGGGAGTAGCAGTAGGATTTCCAAGTTTGAGGCCAGTTTGAGCTTCACAATGAGACCCAGCTTCAAAAATAAGAAGAAAGGCTAGTATTGGTGGTGCATGCCTTTAATGCCAGCATTCGGGAGACACAGGGCAGGAGGATCTCTGAGTTCGAGGCCAGCCTGGTCTACAGAGTGAGTTCCAGGACAGCCTCCAAAACAATACAGAGAAACCCTGTCTCGAAAAACCAAAATAAATACATAATATAAATAAGAATTTTAGAACAAAGAGGACACATTCTGTACAGATATACTAAGAACATCTAACAAATGATTATCTGATACCTGATCTTATTAACACAAAAATACTAGGGTTTTTTTTTTGTCATTTCTGAATATTACATTTTCCAGACTTTGTTAGAAGCTGGTCTACTTCTACGTTAATTCTTCTTTAAAATGTATGAGATGCTAAAAACCAAGAGAACCTGATCTGATAAGAACTTCTAACATTTCTATCTGCATACTCATTTTTCCTCATTACAAAAGCAAATGGAAGCATGCTTAGTGGCTGTCTTAGCACTTGGGAGGCAGAGGCAGGAAAATGGAGAGTTGGAGATCAGCCTGAGGTATATATAGTGCCAAGACCATGAGCCAACACAAAACAACAACAAAAAAATGTAACTTCTTGTGTAAAATTTAAAAAGTACCAGGCAGGAAATATAAATTGATCTTTGGAGAAATCATTTTTGAGTATTTTTCTACACACTTCTTAAAAAAAAAAGTTGACATCAGCAATATTGACATTCCACATGATTGCTTCCTAATATTACCCTCTTGAAATATTACTTAAAATTATATAGATTTCATTTCCACAAAACACCCCTCCCACAAACTGAGGTTTTCAGAATCAATTTTTATTACCTACTAGCAAACCCAGAGCCTTTGTGCATAAATGAATGCTAAGAGTGAAACTACTCAATTCCATCAATTAAAACTCCACGCTTAAAAATGACATCAATATCTACCAAACACAATCTATTAAGATACATTTTTTTAAGTTCAACCTCTCTTTTTTAATCTATTTATCAAGGACCATATTGGTAGCATTGTCACTGTAATATACTTAATACTCTTGTCTGGTGTATGGCGAACACCTTTAACCCCAGCACTCAGAAGACAGAGGCAGGTGGATCTCTTCCGAGTTCAAAGCCAGCCTGGTCTACAAATCAAGTTCCAGAGGGGGCTGGAGAGACGGCTGCTCTTCCAGAGGTCCTGAGTTCAATTCCCAGCAACCACATAGTGGCTCATAAACATCCATAATGAGACCTGGTGCCCTCTTCTGGCGTGCAGACATACATAGAGGCAGGATATTGTATTCATAATAAAAAAGTTCTAGAGAAAACTTGTCTCAAGAAGATTTAATAATTCTTCTATCACAGCACCCATGTGAACCATGATACTTCTAAAATGTTAAGATATCGTTGCATTCTTGCTTTTAAATCACCTTATTATTTTTGGTCTGAAAGCATCAGGTAAAAAGTACTTCCAAATCAGTTCATGTTTAAACGCTACATAAAAGTTGTATATAACTGATGGGGAAGTAAATGAAAGCTACTTTTATGGGTCTAGGAAGTACTTATGAAATGCCATTAAATGTAAACTTAAAGAACCTCAATACTTAAACCCCTTGGGTAAATGCTAGCTTATTCAAGGATTATATAACCAACCAGAAGAATCGTCTCGTAGTACTTCGGTGACACTTAATTTTGAGTTTGTAAAAACATTTAAGTGCAAAGGCAACCTTGGAGGTTTTTGCAATAAAACACTTGCCCCTCCCTTCTAGATTCCTAAAATACTAATGTAAAGAAGTTATGAAGATAACTGGGCGTGGTGGCACAAGCCTGTAGGTAATCCAGCTCTAGGGATGCTGTAGATGTGAAATAGAATTCCTCCAGCAACCTCAAAAGAAATCTACATAATGCGTAGAGTGGCTTAAATGTTAGTAAAGTATTTTGAGACAACCTTGATGCTACCGAGACCGGTCCCCTAAGTCACGGCAATCCCTGGTCGGCTTTGGTGTCTTGAGTGTCGCTATCACAAGCATGCGTCAAGTCACTACGCCCAACAATTAGGAGCTTTTAAGGGACTTTTCAACACCTATGGAAAACTGCCTAAAATGAGAATTTTCCCGGCATAGTCGAGTCTAAATTTACCTGGGCGAAGCGTGTAGTATCGAATTACAACTTAAGTCTCCTGAAATACGCAACACGCAGTGTCAACACACACACACACACACACACACACACACACACGAACCCATGATCACCTGCTGTGAAATCAGCGACACACAATTTCAGAGCCCCAGAAAGACTAGGCACCTCAGAACCACGACTGTTCTAGAAACGTCCAGAGGAGTAACTGCAACCTATCCAATACAGAGACACCCCACAGAAGGGACTAATCCGTTACGACAGTCTCAGGCCAGGAAGAGCGCCAACGGGACGAGCAACGCCCCCGCCCCCTCCCGGTAAGGAGGACGACGAAAAAAGCGTGGCACGCCACCAGCAGCGAAAGCAAGCATCGAAGGGCTACACACACCACGGTCCTCCAAACCCTTTGTCTGAAAAAACCGGAAGGTCTCCCGACACACGCTCCCGTCCGGAGGAACCCGGACTGTTCCCATCAGAGCAGAGAAACGCGAGGGGGGGGGGGGGGGGTGACCGACGGAATCAGGATACCCAGCGGCACCGCACAAAGCTGGGCCCAGGAGGCTCTCGTACAAAAAGGAGGGAAAAAAAAAACCCCAAGCGTTAACGTTTCCTTTGCGGCCATTTTTTACGCAGCTGGGGGCTGGGGGGCGGGGAGGGATGGTCCCAGATATCTGGTCCCCCAGCCGCGCGCCGGCGAGGGACGGACGCGGGAGTCCTGCGGACCGGGGAGAGGCAAACCCGAGCGATGGGTGAGCAACGGCGAGCAGGCTGAGGGGGCGGGGAGGGGGTGAGAGACAACGCGCAGGCTTTCCGCAGCCCACGAGAGCCTCCATCTTGTCTCCACTTGCGGAGGGGAAAAGAAAAAAAAAAAAAAAACGGCAGACGCACTGACCCGGGACTCGCGCTCCCGCGGCCTGGGCTCCGCTCACCCATCCTCTTCTTCCCAAAAGGCAGGGTCGTCCCCCCCTCACTCCCCGCCCCACCCGGGGACGGGCGGCCGGTCCCGCGGGCTCCCGACGCTCCTCCTCCTCCTCCTCCGCGCCCGGCCCGCGTGTAACGGGCTCGTCCCGCCCCCGCCCCCTCCAGTGTCCGGGGCGCGGGCCGTGCGGCCGAGGAGAGAACCTCCGGAACCCCCCCACCTCGGCTCTCCTGCGGCCGCCCGAAGTCGTGTCCTCCGGCCAGGGCCGCTCGCCGCCGCCCGGGAAGGTAGAGCCTCCTCCGCCGCCGCCGCCTCAGCCGCCGCGCTCCCAACAACATGGCGGCCGCCGCTCGGGCGACTCACATACGCAGCGCCCGAGGAGGCGACGCGGGCCGGCGGCAGCGAGCGGGGCACGGCGCGCCGCCGGCTCCCGACACGCGCGGCCTCGCCCCCCACCCCTCCCCGGCTGTCGGCGGACGCGGACGGCCCCGGCCACCCTCCCGGACTCTTACCCTCTTCACGCCTACCTTAGGGGAAGGGAGAGGGAAAAGGAGAGATACCTCTCTCGGCGAGCGGGACGCGCAGGCTCCCACAATGCCCCGCAGCAACGGCGCTGGCAGGAGGCGGCGACGGAGAGCTCGCTCTCGCGAGAACGCCCGTTCCCGTCCCGCCCCCGTTCCAGGTCGGCACGCGCCGGGCCCCTCCCACCATCACCACCACCCCCACCGCGGCCCACGAGGCCGGCCAGCGTTGTTCTCGAAGGCCGGCGACGTCCGCCTCCTCCCGAGAAGGCGGGAAAAGCCGCCCGAGGCCGCGCTGCGGCGCAACACCTGAAGAATGCTGCAAAAAAAAAAAAAACTAGGAAAAGCAGCGCAAAAGACCCCGGGACCAGAGATTCTTCCTCAGCTGTGAGATGAGAGCCCCTAACACCCTCGGAGGGTTGGAAGGCAGAAACTTTCATAGGAAGATTATGGGGTGCTTTCTATGAGGTGGTAAATGCTACTTACACAATAACCGGACAGGTGAAAAAAAAATACCAACTCTCAGTTTGTTTCCGCCAGTGAGAAATGCATTCTTTGGACAATTGAAACCAAAATGTGCATAAATTTAGCAAGATGAATAATCTCAGAAGAATAAAATGGGCAAAAAAAAAAGCATTGCGTCAGTAGATAAACTGCAGAAAGGGAGGTAGTATAGCCATTATCCTGGGGTGGGGTGGCAAATGAGGTAGTCAAGTAATTAGCAAAAAAACTAATGCTGGCTATTAATATAAAAAACCCCACAAACCAGAACATGTAGAAAGAACTATCTTTTTCTTTTTTTTGGTTTTTCGAGACAGGGTTTCTCTGTGGCTTTGGGTAGAAAGAACTATCATTACATCCTTGAGAAAAAACATTTCTGCTTCTACTATAGTGCAAAGGAAAAGAACAGACAAAATTTAAGGGTAAATTAAATAATCCCCCATGGATGCCTCACAGGATGGCATCCTAAAGATAGCAGTGGAGGAATACTTGGAAAACAAATTAATCACAAGATCAAAAAGATCAAGACTAAAAATAAGGTAAGATTTAGTAACTTGGATGGTGGAAGTGTGGAAAGGAACAAGACTCATTCATTCAATTCAAGCTCTCGGTAAGAAACTGGAAAGAGGAAGCACCAGACACCATGAAGGAGTCATTTCTGAGTATCGGAGAACAAGGAATAAGGAAAGCTTTAACCATATCAGCAAGACCCAGTAACTGAAATACTAAGATCTTCCTGTAGAACCTCAAACCACAATACACTCACCAAATGTTTACACTCCACTGTCATCTCCTAATTGTATAGAAGTGAAACATTCTTTTTAATTATCAAAGTGGTGCAGTGAAACGGAAGACAACTACAGGTGCCAAGAGACTTATCACATACACAAATGTGAGACTATTCACAAGACACACTATCGTAGTGCTGGGGATACAAAGATGCTTACGACTACACCCTAGAGGACTGTACTCTGATTAGGGACTGAGAGACAAATCAAGAACTCTAGTCAGGCTTTGACTCTGTGGCACACATCCGGGATGGTTAAGAACGGGAAGACCTCAAAGCAGGAGGTGATCAGCCTGGTACAGATATAAGAAGTGATTTCCAATGCCAAGCTGACTACAGAGCGTGATCTTTTTTGTTTTGTTTTTTGTTTTTCGAGACAGGGTTTCTCTGTGGCTTTGGAAGCTGTCCTGGATCTCGCTTTTGTAGACCAGGCTGGTCTCGAACTCGCAGAGATCCACCTGCCTTTGTGCACCACCATGCCCGGCCAGAGCGTGTTCTAGGGCAGGCTCCAATGCTACAAATTCAGTCTAGGAAAAAAAACAAAAGAAAGCCTAAAAGCCCACATTAATTAGGGTAGCTAATGCTTGCAACCCTAATTGAGGCAAGTTTAAGAGCAGACCGCCTCTTTGAGTGCTGAGAGTAAAGGCATGTGCCACTGCTGCCCAGCTAATTATTTTTTGTCTGAGGACAGCTTGTGACAGAAGCATGGGGTCTTGGGCTGGGAATGTGGCAGCGCAGGTGGTAGGTAAACCCTCAACACAATAAATCACAATAATTTCACATTTGACTGTCAATCTTTAATACAATCTACCGCTAATTTGTTAACAGTTAAGGTTCTTCCCTCCGGTGGAGTTTTTCGTCCGGTATTTTTGTCCATTGTTGTCTAACATGTGATCCTGGGTTTAGTCCCCAACAATGGGGAAAAATGCATTTTGTATTAAGCAGCTTAAACACCTACCACACTTCTGTATTCATAGGCATACACATATTATAATATATATTATATAATATATAATAAACATAACCTTTTAAATAAAGCACCCATTACCTTTTAGAATGTAAAGTGTTTGTCCCTGTGTTCAACCTCCAGCAACTCCCCACTCAGAAATTAACTTTACTGTTTTTTGGTCCTAGTTCTCTACCCTTTCAGCATATTTCCCTTGTGTATCTCTAAAATGCTAGTCAACAGGCCTCCATGGAGCAGTTAGGTTAAACAGCTCTCACCAGTAACCACCAGGGTGAGTAGAGCCAGGTGACTATAGATGGTGATGGTCCTTGCTTGTGTCTTCACCTCCAAATGCTGGAGATAGACATGAATACTGCCCAGAATCTAGACAATGCAGAGACGGTAACCTTTAATGAGGTTACAAGTAACCTTTAACAAGGTCTTACTATATCCTTGGCTGCTAGATAACTAGCCCAGAAACCTATCCCTAAGAACCAGGAGTGCAGATGTTCCCTTCACACCATGAATTGTGTCCTTGCTTTCCTTCTCAGGATACCTTTAAGTGGGGTAGCACCTAATTGAGAAACACAATTTAGCAAATTGATTCATTGTAGGTTGTTCCAACACAGCAGGGAGGACAAGGATGTTACCAGCTGAAAATCTCACATATTAGTTCATTAACTCAGTGAAATTGTTTTCCTAAGAGTTCACAGTTCCATTAACAGCAACTGCTCACAATTCTCAAGAGTCATTTCCACTCCTTTTAAGTCCTTAATTAGTTGCTCTTACCCTGTTCTTTTCCTCTGTGTAAATTCCTAGGCACCAGAGAGGTCTTTTTGTGTTCCTTTTGGGACCCGTAGAATTTATCCCCCTGGGTTTTGTTTCTCTAATTAGAATGTGAGACCTGGCCCAACATTCCAAGAAATATCTAATGTCACTTGCTTAAACCCAGTGACAAAGTAATGAATGGCCATCAATGGCAGCACTATAGTTGCATTTTGTTGTCTTTTGAGACAAGATTCTCTTTTTAGCCTTAGCTCTCCTGAAGTTCACCCTGTAGTCCAGGGAGGTCTTACAACCCCGTTCTGAGTGCTGAGATTAAAGGCTTATACCACCACCCAGCTCCGCCTATTTACAATTTTACGTGTTCATTTTAATTTATGGAGACCCAGGACCTAAAACTTGATCAGAATAATCTGCAACAGGGTGGCTCACAAACACCTAACTGCAAGCCTTTAATCCCAGCACTCAGGAGTCAGTACTGGACTGGCCTGGTCTGCCAAGCAAGTTCCGGACAGGCTCTAAAATAGACAAACCCCACCTGGAAATACCCAAAAAAAAAAAGCAAAATTTAAATCCTTTTATTTATTTTTATGTGGGGGTTTTGCCTGCTTTGTGTGCCTATATACCACATCGGCCATCCCCTGGGACTAGAGATACAAGATGGTTGTGAACTACCCTGTGGTAGACTCGTTGACTCTCCAGCCCCTAAAAAACATGTAAAGCTTTTACAAATGCTTTAATGATTCATCTTGAATTTATCAGGACTTAAAATGGCATAAGTAATGACTAATTAATTCCCGATATCAATCAAGAAATTCCATTAAATTATTTTTAATTATATTACTTATGTCACAGAAACTTCTTAGTAGTCATAATATCCATCCTCAAGAAATATCACTACAGGTAGGGATACTTATGGGTATCCCTACCCTTGTCCAGGAAGGCAAGCTGCAGTCTGACTCAAGGATTAAAAGCCCTGTAGAGGAGTCGGGCATTGGTGGCGCACGCCTTTAATCCCAGCACTCGGGAGGCAGAGGCAGGCGGATCTCTGTGAGTTCGAGGCCAGCCTGGTCTACAGAGCGAGTGCCAGGACAGCCTCCAAAACTACACAGAGAAACCCTGTCTCGGAAAAAAAAA